GTGGCGCACATATTTTTGGATGTTGATAGTGCAGAGCTGATCACCGTTTTTATTACATCAGCTAAGATTGACTCTTTTTAAACGTAGAATCTACAGCTATGTGGAAAACATAATGCATAACCTACTACATACAGAAGGATACGAGATTTATCATCTTCGAAAGGAAGGAACGCGAGTGACCTGACCGAGGGTCGATCCATAGCTTTTCGGTTCCGAATCCAACGTTCTGCTGATTCAACAACCTTGATAAATGAATGTGCCGTTCGTGCAAGGCTTTTACTATGGTTTTTTCGTATCATGTCCTTTCAAATGACAAGACGAAACTATTTCGTTTCAAACTTCTCAAAGTCTGTTCAATTACATCACGACGCGTCATCAAAAAAGGAACTCAGCAAATAAACAGTTTATCAAAAGCAGCTACCAAGTTTATACGTCGAGAAATGTAATGGATATATCTACACTATTATAATTTGATACGATTTAGGTAGTAATAAACTATTTCTGCATCGTCAAATCTCTCATACGTCTAGAAAAGAAGAGAAAAATAGAAAGGCAACACAACTCCACTTCATCACATTGTTTTAAACCTGCTGTTAATGCAGAGTGTACAAAGGATGTATACAGTATGTGCAGAGTAACTGAAAGTTTTCTAAGAGTGACATATAAAGTTTAAGAACTCTTCACTACATATTCCGCGATGAGTGCAAAAAGCAAATATGTATAAATTTAACTAATGATTCAAATCTATAAGGTCATTCAGTGAAAAGCTTGCAGCCAATCCTTAGTATTCTGAAGTAGACTGTAGCACAAAATAACATAATTGACAGGAAACAGTTGCAAACGAAGGAAGGAACAATTTCTGGAACTGAAGAACAGGGAATACCGTGAGTTGAAATGTAAAGGGATGTGGATTGGATGTTTGCTAGTGTGGTAGATCACTTTTGTCATACGAAGCAAGCTATGAAAAGACTAGGAAGATATTTGAAATGGTTTGCCAATGAATGTCTGGAAGATAGATTTGTCTTAAACAATCAGG